CAGTTGCTCCGGTGCCATCAAAAACTTTTTTTCGTGGACCTGGTTCAGCAGCCGCAGCGAAGTTAGTGCGTCAAGTGTTACGAGCAGTTACTCGTAATTTGGCAGTAATAATGTTAGCAATCCCTCAATATTCTACTCCTTCAATAACAACCAAAACATCACGACTTCCTCTAACTCCCACTTGAATATCAGTATTCTCTATGCCTCCATTATACAAACTACCACATTGAGTACCTAACGTGGTATCGCTAACAGCACCAGGTATTATTCCTGTCCTTCCCGTGCCTCTGCATCAATTATCTACTAAACCAGTAGTATTATTCCGAAATAAATCATTTGGTCCATTAGCACCATTCCAAAAAGTATTAACTATTACACTACCACCAGCAGCAGTAGTAAAATAATCAGCAGCGACTCCTCCACCTGTTATAAGTGCGTTTCTCCTATCTGGATTGGTTATTTGTGCTTTAAAAGCAGTTTCAAATTGTTTTAAATTCATATCTATTATTAATATTATTTTATTTGCTTATTATATTCATTATATTAACCTTAGCAAAAAAAAAAAAAAAACAGTCTTAATTTGTTTAACAAAGGTTCTGAATTTCCTAAAATTTTTTGCTAATGCTTGCGTGAAAGTTTTTTGATTTTGGTTTTTTAGGAGATAAAAAGATAATAGTTATAATTTGGCTTTTGCTTTTTCTGGGAAAAAATTAATCAACATTCCTAACTTTCGCATCACTTCCGCAATTTTTTCCGAGGTTAATGCTCCAATTTTTCCCTCTAACCTTTGCTTATCAAGATTATAATTTGGTCGGTCATCACTTTTCCCTCTTGGTTATCTACTTTTATCCTAACTTCCCAAGCATAAACATATTTCGGTTGACCTTGGCGGTTAAAAGCTCGGGTTAAAGGTAAAACGGTAATTCTTTGGCTTTCCTCATTATATCACTTGGTTGAAACAACTAAAACTGGGCGATGTCCTTTAACTTCACTACCCACACTTTCTCCATAAAAAGCACATTTATAAACTTCTCCGAATTTAGGTTTAATTTGCTCCACCGACTTAACTTTGTTAATTTCAGTCTCAGTCATTATCGTCCTTAGTTTTTAATTTAGCATTATCGCGGTCTTGAATTTTATCTCACAATTCAACTTCTTTTTGGCGGTCTTTATCTTGGTTAGCCAACCGCATATCTCGCCGATAAATTTCTTCCTCACTAAATTTTTCATCAGCCAAAATGTCATCGTAAACAATTTGGTAATTCACTCGCCCTTTTTCTAAAAGAGTTTTTATTTTTTGACCGCTATCGGTTTTAATAATTATTATTTCTTTCATTCTTTCGTGTTATTAATTTATTTAATTCTATTTTACAAAAAAAAAAAAAAACAAAGTAATTTAGACTGGTTGAGGTTTGGTTTTTTACTCTCCTAACTAATTCCAAACCATCTAATGCTTTCTTTACCTAGTTTTTAGGTCAAGTGTTTCCGTAATTTAACAAAATATTCATTACCTAGTTAAGCAAGTTAAATAAATATTTCCACTGATAAAATATTTTACTTACTACTTTTTTCTGCTTCCTGATAGAAAACTTTAATGACTATTTTATTAACTTCCCTCATTTAGTTAATCACACCAGTCATTTTACTTCTGTAGTATTTATCGGAGCAATTGTCTCATTCTTTTTTAGCATCCGCGTTTTTAAAAAGGTTGCTTGCCACATCCATTGCACTCGTATATTTCTTTTTTAACTAGGCTAAATAATCTTTCACTTTCTTTTTGACTCCAATTCCTTCCTTTTTTTCAATAATGTTCGTTGCCACAATGCTAAAATTTTAGTTGTTATTACTTTTAGGTGGGATTTGGATTTGAGGTTCAATTTCATCAAACCGATCATCACCTTGATAACCACAATATCCTACAAGATTATTATCATCTATCTCTTGATCAAGTATCATTCTTTTTCTTAGATTGATTGGATTTTTCTTTTCCTTAAACCCTCTACGATCACATAATTCACTTTTTAGTTGATCTCTGATAGGACTTTCTTTATCGTAATAAATGTAAATTTTGTATTTATCATCCTCACCTTCATTGTCTTTTTCGCCTTTTAATTTAACTTCTATTTGCAATCATCATTTTTTTGCTTCATTGGAATTTGCACCTGTTCTGAGCAGACTTCATTTCTTTGCAGCACTTTCTGGAGGACAGTTATTCATTTCTTCATCTGCTAATTTCAGCACCTCTCTTCTAGTTAATTCTCATTGTCTATCAACAGTTATAGGAGAGGGAACAACTTTTGCCATATATGTCATATTTTCCCAATTATTCTTTCTGGTACGAATAGGAAAATAAGCAACACTTAATACTTTTTCTTCATCTTTAATCCCATTAGTAGAAGGATTGGAAAGTTTAATAAGTTCTTCTCTGTCTTTATCATCTAGATTATTCAATACAAAGTCAAGGGTAGAGTCTCAGTCTAATTGGTCTTCTCAAAATGTTTTGCTGTGTCATTGACTAGAATGAAGTTCCCCTTTATCTTCTTTCAACATAACAAGATCGTGAGACAACTCATGAGCTAAAGTGCGATAAATTTTCATTTTGTCTCGATCAGCACGAATCTTAATATAGAAACCAGCGCTTCGCTTTTTACTTTTATTGAAATTTTTTCAATTAGTATAGGAAGTAGTATTGGCAAAAGCATTAGAAAAATTTTTATCGCCCCTTTTTCCAAAGACTAAATCGATTGGAACGCCTTCAAGCCTTTCTTGAGAGAACTTGTTCACTATCTCTTTCAATTTATCTTCTAAGTTTGTTGGAATTTTTTGAGGCGAACCGGTTTGATTATTAGTTAAATCACTTTTTTTGATCAATTGGTTTTCTCAAGCCTTAGGTAAAGTACCATTGGCATCTATTCCTAGTACTCCTT